TATCATGATAAAATTTGAAGGTGCACCTTACCTCTACACCTATGGATGCGTCCATATGCAAACTGCACCCTTCTAAGAGAAGGTCTTTTACTTAGGACACGGATTCTATACAGCCAGCCCACATATTGGAGAAATGCAAGCTTGGCAATAAATATATTTTTTAAATCAAATTTGATCCCTAGTTTTATGGAATATATAATCCTAGAGATCATGAATATGAAAAAAAAATAGAAATAATAATTATATTAAGAAAACATTTGGACCTTTAGTTACAATTGTTTTTAGATGGACCACCTATTTGCCTCCATCTTAAAGATGGATAGTTTATACCTCTGGACTGCATATTGTAGAAATGCGGTCCAGCCCACATAAAACAATTTTCCTCTTAACTTATAGGAACCATTGTTGTTCTAATAGAACCGTGATGGCCCCTCGATGAAGAGCTAAAGCATCACTGGCATATATGGCCCGTGATGACCTTCATGGTCCCAATAGGGCCATGAAGGTTACTCGAAAGCAAAAAAGATAAAACAGTAAAAAGAAATTGAGTATGAATGAGATTTTCAAAAACTTAAGTCCTTTTGCAGTTTTTGGGGAAACAGAGTATATATTTTTCAGAACTTCCCTAAAAACTTTTGTTGGCTTGTTTCATAACCATACCCTCCAGCAGTTTCAGCTTAACTGATCTTGTCATAATCAAGGAACAGACTCTACAGAACATTGCAATCACAGATATAGAAGGGGCTACTGCTATTCGGTCAAGTCCAAACCTTTCACGAGATAAACGTCATAATAGTTGGCAGGGCTTAGACGGCTTTCCAGATATTGGTACTGTTTCATGGGATCATATAGTCTATCCTGATATGGGTTAGCCCTTCAAACTCTAGGTTCTATCTATAAAACCTTCCCCACTGATGAATACTTGTTTTCATTGATCGAAATCCTTTTGTTTCATAGGACCTCTAGATTAAGCAGTGAAAAGCAAATTTATGTAGTGCTTACATGCCTATTATAAAAAAAAAGATAATAGAACATAAAAAAAAAACTCCTAGCAGGCCTTGCAACAGATCTTCAAAAGATAAGTTTGAACAACTCCAGAGGATCAATATTTTTAAATTATCATGGAGTTACATCCACTTTCCAACTAACACATTTTCATGGTCACCAGATCATAAGCAGACACTGCCACGTAATCATTACCCAGTGAATAGTAATAGGTATACTTAATGCAATAATTTTGTATTTGATGAAACAAGTTACCAAAAATAGAATAGAATTGATCAAAAACAGAATTGAACAATAGGAATTAAAAGAATTATAGAAGTGTAAAGGAGGAATTCAAAGACAAGTGAAGACCAGTACTCTAAACATGAACCACAAATAGAGATCAGTATAAGCCAACTGGGAAAATGATGAATAGTAAATGGAAATGAGGGCAACATGGTATCAGTTGACCGTAAATACCATCACTCTTAAAAACTGAAACAAATTTTCAAATAAAGAATTTCAGTGTGTACAGGCCCGCCGGTGCCAGGATTTAAAACTGAAATTCAAATCCGAGGACCAGATTCTATTCAGATAAAGAGTTAAGATGATGGTAAATCTGAGTCAACTCAAGCAAGTCTGAAATTAGTTAATGGATTTTTAAATTCTTGATTCCATGGACATAGTAAAATTTCTTATGCCATTTTAATTCACAAGGATGAAACCTAGTATTCAGATAAAGAGTTAAGATCATGGTAAATCTGAGTCAACTCAAGCAAGTCTGAAATTAGTTAATGGATTTTTAAATTCTTGATTCCATGGACATAGTAAAATTTCTTATGCCATTTTAACTCATAAGGATGAAACCTAGTACAAACCCTAATTCCCTGGACTATGCCATTTATCACTATAATTTCCAAATAGATCAAAGATCGTTAAAATGGGTTCATCACCCAAAAATAATTGAGGTGGTAAGTTTAAGAAGATGATTTCACTCAAGTACCTGCTCAACCATTTTTAAAAATATTATCCAAAGTGTCCATGTTCAGGATTTGGAATCCCAAAGGGTATTTTTTGTAATTTCACCCAACTTGAGCAGCCAAGCTAAATGAGAAAGTACTTGGCTGAAATGATCTATTACAACAACCACTTTGCTGCTAAATTGGTTGATTTGACTACCTCAGCAATTTTTGAGGTGATTTGACCATTTTAAAGCGGGAAAATATGACTAGATTATGAACAACTAAATAAAGTGTTTGATATCATGTAATGAAAAGCTTTGGACTGATTTTGTTGAAAATGACTAAAAATACTATAATTACCACAAAATGAATTATCAGAAATTATCGGACATAAATTTAATGCTTAATCAATTTTGCGACATTTCATCATTATTAACAGCCAAGCAATGGCCTTCAACTACCATCACTAGATATTTCATTTTATTCTTCTTGGTTGGCTAAACCAACTTGGCATTTCATTTTTCTTTATGTTTTGGTTTACTTTTCCATAACACGATAGCTAGCTTTAAAATTATTTAACACTCAACAGCGGCATCAGTATCAAGAAAATAAGCATGCAAAAGCATCCCTTACTGGCAATTCAGGTTTGAACCGAACATGCTTGCTTGAAGGACACCAATGCTAAAAATAAAATGGCATGATCTGCATTATAAACACTGCCATCTTCAACCAAGATAGTCACACCATTTTCTCCATATTAGATTTCATGAACAACCTTCCCTAAATGGAGGCGTTTATCAGGAAATTCCCAGTATTTGTTTCTAAGAATTCCCCTGCTAATCTATGGACAACATACTTGTATCGATGTTCATCAGCAACAAATTGTTCATCTTCCCCATAATATGACATGGTAGGAATAGATTCCACATTATTTAAGCTTGTGATTCTAGGGGGCTCTAATTGAACAAAAAAACAAAAAAGGGTCAGAAGAATTTTAAGAATAGTTGTCACAGAAAAGGAAATAGGAAGTATCAGCGATAAAATGGCTAGAAAATACAGCAGTTGATAACATGGTAAGAGAGTATGTGGACCTGCAATTTCTACATCATAAGCCATGTAGTCTACAGCCATTTTCCAAGGGTGTTTGGGGGACACTGCAAAATCCAAAAGGCATGTTACAGCGATTACAGCATGGTATCTTGAGACCAATACTTACTTTCACATCCTAAGCCATGTAGTTTACTTCTATGTGGACTTTGAAGTTGCTAGTTCCATGAAGAAACTCCAATTGAATAACAGAAAATCATATTATTCTTCCCCCAAAGAAAATGGAAATTGCTATTTATTTCCCATCATTAACAAAAAAAGAAGAAAAGAGAAAAGATGGATAACAGCTTACTATCCAAACATGTGTTGTACAGCAAAAATTGATAAATCTTCCTCGTTGTTTTCTCGAAGTGTTGCAGCCAAGGAAGAACTGAAATTTGCAGCAGCTCATTCAAGATCCAAAGTAGCAGAGACCACAGATTGAGGAACATGGGTACCACTGAAATTCAAATTAACTACCAATAAATTTACATTTGGCAATTTACAAGCTCCTTATTGTATGAATGAACAAATAAAGAAGACATGGGTTTTGAAGGAATTGGTCGGGGCCTGGTTTTCTCGAATTGGGAGAAAACTCTCTCTCAAACAACCGCAAAAAGGGGCCCACGCTTCACTTGCGTGTGCGCATATGCTCTTTTAAAGCGCAGATAGGAACCAACAACGAGATAGATTTAATCGACAAAGATCTGTTCAGACGCCTACCTTATCATTTTGGGTTCAGGGATACGCCCGGGCAGTCACCCTCTTAGAACAATTACGAAGCCCTCCGGCTGTCTGCCAGCGCAGTTTGGACACGAACTCTCCTCAAACTTCAACCCGTCATCTCATTCTTTTGTTTCAAAACTTGCAATATGAGTTTAAATGGCACTCCTCTATGATGGTTCACTCGGTTGGGGGTTGACTGGCAAATATAGGACATAGAAAGAAAGCTGGCGGAAGCTCTTAATCGCTCGTGCGTTATGAGACTCAATGACCAAAGCAGTCGAAAGACTTAAAACCCTACAGGATACTAACTTAGGATGACCTCACCCGAGTGAGCGAGGGCAAGAGCACATACGTCCCTCGCAACTCTACTCGACTGTACGAAATAGAAGTTAGAGTAGAAATATGAGAGTTAGAACTCTTAAGACGATTATTCACAACACTAAGTCAAACACTCGATTGATAGGAGAGGTTTCCGACACGCAAGTGGAATTAACCGTATCCGCACGAAGATGTGAATACGGGTGTAAGCTCGAGAGGGGCAAGAGGTTGGAGACAACTGAAAGACGGAGCCACGAGATGCTTCCTGCAAACAGCAAAGGGGAGAAGAGCCCAAAGAGAGATGGGGCTGCAGGTGTTGCGGCTCCGAGTCTTAACACGCGACAAAGGAGAGAAGGGCACAGAGAGATACGGGGCAACAGCTGTTGTGGCTCCGAGACTAAACACGCAGCAAAGGAGAGAAAGGCGTAGAGAGAGATGGGCCTGCAGGTGCTGCGGCTCCGTGACTTAACGCACGACAAAGGAGAGAAGGGTGTAGAGAGAGACGGGACAGCAGGTGCTGCGGCTCCTAGACTTAATGCGCAGCAAAGGAGAGACGGGGCCACAGGTGCTGTGGCTCCGAGACTTAACGCGTGGCAAAGGAGAGAAGGGCGTAGAGAGAGACGAGGCGCAGGTTTGCTGCGACTCCAAGTTACTATGCGGAAAAGGCGATGTAGAGAGAGAAAGAAAGAGGATAGAGAAGAAGGAAAGGAGAGAGAGTGGGCTTGGGGAGTGACCTAGTCTAAGTGCGCCACCTTAGCCTCTTTACTTACACATGAGAGAGAGCAGTTAACCACGGGTCAAGGTTAGTGTGTATGGACTAGGGCGGTCTATGGTCTAGGCTTAAGTGCAAAGATGATAGTGTAGGTTAGGGTATATGAGCTAGGGGTAATTTCTCTCTAAAAGTTTTCTCTCACCTCACCACTAGACCCAAGAGTTAGAAGCAAAACCAAGTGAACACAAGCTAATGCCTCAATTTCATTCCCGAATGATCCAACCCTTTTACAATTGACCTAAGCTTGTTTATATAGAGCAACCCCCAAACATGGGTGGAATGCTCAAAACTAAACCAAATTGTTGAAATTTACATATTAAATGAATTAAAATAAAATCCCGTTCTTGGGCATAATGACCAAAATACCCCTTTGAACTTTTGAACAAATGGCAAAACCATCCCTCCTTGAGAGGCCCCTTGCCATTTCTAGACTTCGGGAGCTTTGTCGGACCCTTTCGGCAGTGACTCGCGCAATCAATCGTCGTAGAATTGATGCTTGATCCATCACGAATGTTTTGATGCCTTTGACCGTCTTGAAACGGATTTTTCTTAGGGGGCAAAAAGCCGACCAACTACCGAAACACCGACCACCAATGCAGTCCGATCCATGATGTTCCAAGTCTTCATTTTGATCACGAGTCAAAGAGGACATTGTCATGATCATTCTGCACCAAATTTTGTCCAATTTGATTTCCATTTTAGCACATTCCAAATTTGGAAAGTCGCCAGAAAATGGAATCCGACAACCTGAAAATCATATCATTCTCAACCCCATCCAATCTTTAATTAAGCGCAAAAATTATACTAAATTGTACTACTTCGTGATGCAATTGCAATGGACCCATATTTGCAACGACACCCAGATCTCAAGTTATGACTTCACAAAGTACAAGATGTCTTCTTTCAAAATTCTAATTTTCATGCTTTTGGGCTCATCTTCTCTCCAGAGATTCTCTCGTCTCGGGTCACGTCATGATGTGTGCCATATGTCAAAACGACCGTATCGTCGAGGCCTAGCTCGTGTCCAGATTTGAGTGTGTTTCGACTTAGAACGAATGACTTATGAATATTTGAAATCACCCCGAGAGGTGAAAACACAATTTCCATGAATAAAAACTGGTTCACCGAGGCCGCACCGTAATAGTGTAAAACCCACCCTTTTATGGTAATTTGGGCCCAGAAAGGTATTGGAAGATCCGATTGAGCCCAAATTTGGTCCATATGGGTTTTTCGACGTTCTAAATCTAATAGCAGTGGTTTGGTACTATTTTGAAACCCCGAAAATAAGGCTAAAGTTTTAATGTCCTTTTTCAGCATGATAGGAACTGGATTTGAGAACCGAGTTTCGTCCTGATTATATCGAAACTTATCAGAATGTGACGAAACTTTGTAAGTGTCTTTCGAACATCCCAAACTACCCCTTTCATGCCTTTTGAAGGCGTTTCAGTACTTTTTTGAAGGTTGCCCAGTTTTAGGCTTATTTTGCAGTGTTCCCATAGTCTGGCGGTGTCTTTGGTACCGGCAGGATCAGGTTGTTACTGGCTCTCTCTTTATACGACTCAAGAGTACAAGTACATAAAAAATGATGTATAACAACTTGTATCACCGAATGCTGCTCTTCTAGAGAAGCGAAAAGTATAGCATTCGGAACAAAATTTGTCGTCGAAGATCATCTTTCGAATCCTTATTAAGACAATGAATTCCATTAAAATTAGATACCCAAATTTCCAATTTCCTCAGAAATATAAAAAAACTACATAAATATTAAAAACGTGAAGGAAAGATAATTTGTGTTTTTAAAAATCAGAACATATGCGGAAATGACCCATGAAAAATAGTTTAGAATACAATATTGCGCAAAAAATAATGAAATCCCAATGTGAAACCCTTCAATAACTGGAATCAGGACGAAATACTGTAACAACTGAAACCCTAATTTCTTAATTCCTCTAGAGTTACATATAATTCCATAAATTTAAAATTTTAAAAAAAACTGAAGGCATGAAAAAAGAGGCTCAAAAACACGGAATTCTTACGTTTTGACATGAAGGTGTTCTTGGAAACCTACGCACTCGAAGAAGGCGACGCATCTGTTGCTCCTCCATTGAAGCAGAGGAAGCGAGAGAACCTGCATGCATTATTCAAAGAAAAAAGGAAGAAAAATACCTGCAAAACATAGAAAAATGGGCAAAACAAACTATATGTGCAAGAATTAACAGCAAATAACAACAATATCACAGAAAAAACTTCAGCCGCAATTGGTGATCGATAGCGAGAGAGATTGATTAGGGTTAGAGAGAGCGAGAGAGAGAGAGATTTTCTAAAATGTCGTCCCGCCATATCCTTGCTTTAAACACGTTTCATTACCCCTCATTTTTTTAAGTTTTAGATTTTTGCAAAAGATTTCTTACTCCCGCGATAGTCCTGTATCCATTTACTCCCGCGTGCAAATAGGGATATCTTATTTATCTAGAGCAACCTTAAGAAAAAAGAAAGGAAAAATTACGTAGATATTTATTTTAGATTTCGTTATTATCAAAATACCGAATATTATCTGTTATTATTTAAATGTTTATTTTTTTGACTTCATAATGATTTAAAAAAAAAAAGACGAAACTACGTATTTTTTGTTTTTCAAAAACTGAAATTACAACAATTTCAGTTTTATGAATAATCGGAATTTATAAAATTTCAATTTTTTAAAAACCAAATTTTTTATTTTCTGAGTTTAAAAAAACTGAAAATTTTATAGCACAAAGCACCCCTTTGTCAACCTCTTGGTTTTATTATTGTTTTTAGTTGGGGTTCGCAATTTTCACCGACTCACAAATTCTTGTTTTTAATTTTGATTATGTACATTTTGATGAAGAAGTAAATGTAAAGACACTATACAAATCAACTGATGACGAACCTTTGACAGATCTCCCGACACTGGACTCTTTCTTATTATATTACCAAATGGAACCCACAGCCCCATGTGTGGGCGGACAGAAATAGAGTGGAGAGAAGACGCCTTGAAGTTATGTAATCATGAAATGGGTAGAGAGAGAGGCCTTTATTTTCCTTATCTCTCTTTAAAGTAGCTTTTTAGATGCCTACAATTTTAGAAGCCAAAAAACAGATAATTTGGGCCAATTGGCGCGGCCCTTAACATGGCCCCCCAAAACAAGTCCCACGCCTATGGATCATATTCGTCGTTCCCTTTTCTTTATCTGTCTTTGAAAAATCAAAAATTTAAAATCTTTGTTTCTTGAAAAACCGAGAATAAGTAGTTTCATCATGTTTTAAAAAAATTGTTACAAAGTCCAAAAAATAGACATACCAGTAATAACGGAAAGTATTCGGTATATTGATAGAAACGGAAACTTAAATGGATATTCACATAATTTTCCCCAAAAAAAAAAACTCTCACTCTTTATGTGCCTAAAAAGAATACCATCCCAAAATTGCACCATAACCCATCCAAGTTTTCAGGGGAATGATCCATCCAAATTTTCAAGGGAATGATCTAGATGTTTATGAACTCAAAGTTGTTTTTTTTTCCTTTAACAATAATCATCTAGTTATGATTAGATGGATCGCAAAACTTTCAAAAGAAAAAAATATCCTGAGTTGGTGTTTTGCTCAAGGGAGTAAATGTATAGAATGCTATTGAGGGAGCCTAGTAAGCACGCACTTTAGATTTTGCGTATGAATTATTATTTAGCACATAACTTCATATTCTACATCTTTTGGATTTTTAATATCCAAATATTTATGTAGCCCAACAAACTTACATTTTTTGTTATAGGTTTTTTATCTGAAAAGTTTTTGCAAATTTTGGACTTCAAAATCTGAAAATTGTGAAAATTGTAGAAAAAAAATTTTGTGCTATTTTTTTTTTAAGATATCCAAATATGGGCAATTTGATCTTTCTAAAATTTTGAGTAAAAGAGATATAAATGTAAACAAGGAAAATTTGTAATTAATTATCATATAATGTGAATTATTTGGGATATATGTGTAATTTTCTCAACATGAAGCACAAAAACACCGTGTTGCTTTCATTTGCTGGCATTAGGATCATTAAAGGCTTTAATACAAGAATAAACAATTAACTAAGCTTTATTACAAGAATATACATTTAATTTTTAGTGGATGTTTTAACCTAAGCGAAGTTAGGCCTTAAATTTTTATCTATAGTTTCCATCCCTACTGCTTTGAAACGAATGAAAGTTCCGCTCTTATTGATGTAACCATGGAGGATATTGATGGATATTCCGTTAGGAAAAAAATGGAGCCCAAAGCTAATTTCCTTTTGGGTAAAATTGATATGGTTTAAGCTCCACCTTTTTAATGAAATTTCATTAACTTATTCAAGAAAAAAATAAAAAAAGATAGGGTTTAAGCTAAAGACTACATAGAAACAAATCTAGCAGAGAGCAATTGAGGAAACACTGAAAACTGTTGGTTTCTCAAATAACCACAATGAAACCTTGTGAGAGCAGTTTTTTGCATCTTTTATTGCTATTTATGATACTTCCAGTCTAAAATGGATTTCTTAAAAGATCAAATTGATTCTCATCTATTGCAGCTACAACATGGTAAGTGGAAGAGATAAGAAGGTAGTACACAATAGGTAACCAAATGCTTCCTAAATGTTTCAACTAAAATTTAGGTGTACAACTTGAATTTGAACAAATGAAACTTTGCCTTGCTCATAAATAAACAAGAAGATTGATCCAAACAATAGTTTGTATTGATTAGAAGTAGGGCAATCTAATATCTTTGCAGTTTAAAACCCAATGACCAGAAATATTTTCATTAAGTTGATTTGAAACGCAAAATAATCTAATTTAATATTGAACCCATAGGACCATCTTGGATTTACCTTGTGGACAATTTAAAAAAGAAAGAGAAAAAAGATTGAAACCCTAGATCCAATGTCCCTCTAACAAAACGTCTAGAATCCATCTTTTCGAGGGGAATTCATTGGAATCATTTTCTAGTATACTATGGTTTATATTTTTAATTGGAGGGAAATTTAATCTCAAAGTTTAATCCCCTTGTGTGTTTTGAGAGAGAGAGAATTTGTGGTTTAGCCTCACCATAAATTACTATTCATATAATTAAGGAGTTATATGTAACCTCAAATGCTTGTTAGTGAGAGCCGATGGTTGTGAGTACGTAGTCTACTCACGATGATATTGGTCATGTAAAATCCATCTTTCAATAGCGGTTGAGGATACCTATTGCATATCATAGTTATTCAAACAGGACTGAACTTGTGTTCCGACTGATGCCTTGGCCGGTTTGGACGGATGTAGATAACAAATTTGTTCGAAAATCGGTCAAAATTAGTGTTTGACTAGTTTTGGCCAATCGAACTAACCGGATTTAGCTTATTCGACCAGCTAAATAAAGTTGGATAAATTTATTTTCTAAATTGTTATATCTAGTGTTTGGACCGGTTTTGACTGATCCAAATACCTCACGGTTTAGTAGCCTGTCTTACGCTGATAATACCATATCATTCTATTTGTATGTTTTATTTAGATAGTGACATACTTCTCCAACGAATTTTATTTTTTCACATGAATGTCTTTGGAGCTTGCGCAGTAGAAATGAACGACCCTGCCATTTCAAATTTGGGTGCACACACACGGGCACACACATAGATACACACATAGATATAGTGGATTGATTTCATGCCACTGATACATTATCTATACTACATTATTAAGGAAGAGTTAAGGGGTGGACACGTGTCGCCAAAATAAAAAAGGTCCCTAATTGTATAGAGGTTGCATGATACATTCTAAGGGAAGAGAGAGAGTATGTATACTTTAGGAGAAGAAAGTTAAGAGAGAGAGAAAGTATGCATAAATTTTAGGGAGAAAAGAGAAAGAGTGTATTCTCCTAACTTAACATATTATATCCTTATCTAAATATAGCATTTCTTCTAAAATAATGAAGAATGAGAGAGGGAAGAGAGTATGTATAAGAGAGAGAGAGAGAGAGGTGCATGCATATTTTAGGGAAAAAGAGAGAGAGAGTAATTTATATCTCACCTATATTTCAAACTCTATACTTACAATTTTCTCACCTAAAATATATCTCACATGCTCAATCTTCTAAAATAGGAAAGAGTGAGAGAGGGAAGAGAGAGAGTACGTATACTTTAAGAGAAGAAAGGGGAGAGAGAGTATGCATGAATTTTAGGGAGAAAGGAGAGAGAGTAATCACTTAACTTATCATATTATATCTTTATCTAAACATAGCATATCTTCTAAAATAGAGAAATATGAGGGAAGAGAGATAGAGTATGTATCTCTCTTTTTCCCTCTCTTTCACATTATCACGTGGATTTTGGGATTTTCAAGTACCATTGAATGAAGCTTAACAAAGTCTATATTGGAGGTAAGTCATAGTAAGTCTTTTATTTTCTTGGTATTTCCTATGTTTGTATTTATTTATGTGTTCTTCCCATTTTATAAAGATTGAAGAATATATTAATCTGTAAAGGTAAGAGAAACCTTGCTTTTTTCAAGGTATGTAATTATTGTTTTTTAAACTTCATAAGCACCTATTTTGAATTTAATTATACATTATTTTATGTTGGGGATGTTCTATGTGAAGTAAAAAATAACAAACATAAATTATAAAGAATTAAAATAATTACAAATTTTAACTCTACTTCACAATTTTAGTGAGTTTTCCACATACATATTATTCTTTTGGAAAAATTGCTTAAACCCACAAATATGGACTTTCCATGCACTTTACCGCCTAACTTTTCCTAAAATAATTTTCCCCAAAACCAATTTTTTAAGCTAATACCCCCCAATCTAAAAAAAAAGGTGAAATAAAGGCTAAACTACCCTCCTTTTTATTTTTTACCCCAAAACTATTTCTCTCACACGGAGTTTTTACCCTAAACCCATTTCGTTTTCCCTCACGATTTTCCCATTTCCCTCTCCATGAATTTTCCCTTTTCCCTCTCTACAAGGCTCATGATTTTCCTATTCGTGTCTCCACCAAGCTCACGATTTTCCCTCTCTCTCTACTAGGGCTCACGATTTTTAGCTTTCTCTCTTTACTAGGGAACAACACGAATCCGTTTCTCTCTCTACCGGGGCACAAGAGCATATTTTCTCTCTCTAGTTGGGCACAATACGAGGGTCGTTTCTCTCTCTTATGATGCACGAGCTCATGTCTCACTCTCTTTCTACCCAGGCCCCACCCACTCTCTCTCACGATCTACTTTTTTACTCTCCCTCTCTCTCTATTAGGACCCTACTCACTCTCTCTACTGAGGCCAAAACTCAACTTTTCTCTCAATCTCTCTTTCTACGAAGGTCCCACAAAGCACCACGATTTTCTCTCCCTCTCTTTCTACAATCGAAAGTCCCACAACTCTGTCACTGTCTCTACGAAGGGCTCATGTAGCACTGCTCTCTTTCAAAATGAGCCCTATCAAAGGCCGAGCTCAATTTCTGAGCCCCAAGTATAAAAGAGTATTTCAATATAA